AAATACTCTTCTCAAAAACTACTCAGAATATTAATTACTTTTTAACCAGTTGATGTTTTATTGTGTTGTCAGTAGAAGTCATTCACTTTGATTCACTGTATATAATAAATATAAATATAATCGCTACAGTCAAAGCTCATTTCTGAGACGCTCAGAAGCTCCGTCTTATTTTAGTACCAGACAAACCGATGGCAGTGATAAGATCTAAGATCTTTGCATACTTAGCCAAACTAATAACCCGCACATACAAACAGTAAAACAGCAACATCATACAGGAAGCTGTAAAACCTCGGATAAAACCAATATGTGTTTGGAGATTAGATGAAATGTTGTAGCTGCTATCACCGTAGAGATCAAACAACGTTTGCATCTGGACACTGTCTCCTTTTCACCCTCTGAGCATGAAAACTTCCTCCAGGTACGACCACTCGTCCTCAGTCTTTACCTCGTCTTTGTCTCTGTTGTTGTCCTCTGTCTCCATTTTGGCTTTTTCTCCAACTCTTCAGTCCATAAATAACTCTCTACGGAGTTGTCCTTTGCTTACGTCATAGGTGATTGGTGCATCTGCGATCTGAGCCTTATTGGCTACAAAGATGCAGATGAACGTTTTTTTTCATTCAACCTTTATTTAAACAGATAAATCACATTGAGCCTCAAAGACTCATTTACAAGTGAGATCTGTTTAGACAGACAAACAGTTTGAATATTAATTCAAATTGCGGCCGCACTCAGTAGCAACTTCTGATTTTAAAAGTAGCGACGTAGATTACTTGGTCTAAATTGTACTTAAGTATGAGTATAATTACACACTTGAAAGAAATACTCATAAAAGTACAAGTACCCAAAAATCTACTTAATTACCGTAATGTGAGTATTTGTAATTCGTTACTTCCACCCCTGTTGTAGATGCACATTTAATAAAAACTTTGAGAGTTTCATTAAAATCCATCCAGCGGTGTATGAAATATTTTGCTAACAGACATAGTTGACTACAGCAGATAATGTTAAAGTTGGACAAAAATTTTCCCTACTTCTTTAGTCATTTCAAGTCATTGTGCCAAGAGTTGAAAGGCAGGCTCAGACAAAGAAGCACGGAGCAGCTGTGCAGGGTAAAGATGCTGGTTTTACATCACCTTCAACATCTGTCTGCAATATGAGCTGAAGGAGACAGGTGGTGTACACGGACAATAAATATTTGCTGTATGTCGGTGACCAAGCTGATATTTTATAAAACTTTCTGCCTGTGCAGAGGTGAATGAAAAGTGCTGAGTCACTGTGAGAATTCAAAAACAAGTTTCAGGATGGTGCAAGATGATTTGACCATCGTTGCATTGACAATACAACAATGATCATTTTGAAGTCTTAGTTCGTATTTTTTGCTCTTTTTATATATATATAAGTACACAAACAATTATTCGAGACGTTTGTGTTTCTTCATAATTAAAAGCTTATCTCCATGAGAAAAACAACTATATCTTTGCCTTCTCAAAGTATGCACAGTGTCGTAATATTACCAATGTTTAGATGCTGTTATTAGATTATAATTGTGCATAAAGGTTAACATTTTTGTGCTACATTCACATCTGCTTTCACCCCCCATTTCTCTTGCAAGAGTTGCAACACACCCACATCTAGTAACACCCCCTGGGCAGCTGGAAGTTTAACCTAAGTTTAAATAAAGTGCATTTTCAGTGTGATTTCATGTTGCTTACGGTTAACAACAAGGAAAGCAGTTGGACCAGTTTAGAGGGAATGTGAGCTACCTTGAGTCAAAGATGATGACAGCACAAACTTGTGGGATGGGTATTTGTTCCACCAATCCGGTTGTGGAGGGTTTGGAGCTGGTTATAAAAGAGGAAGTGTGAAGCCTTGAGACTCACTCCTCTCTCTCTCTCACTCCACCTTCCTGACTCCTGCAGCTTGGTGCAACCTGCTCACTCTGAAACCATGGCCAAGGACATGACTCTGTTCTGGGGCTCCGGCTCTCCTCCCTGCTGGAGGGTGCTGATCGCTCTGGAGGAGAAGAACCTGCAGGGGTACAACAGCAAAATGCTCTCCTTTGAGAAGGGAGAGCACAAGTCAAAGGAAGTCATGGAGGTCAACCCGAGGGGTCAGGTAGGTTCACTTCATTCTTTCTGTCAACCCAAAAAACACTCCCAGTAGGATTTTCCAAATGTTGCATTGGCTAAAATTCTCTAAGTTCAAGAATATGATCCGGCATCTAGCAGAATACAAAACAATCTAATAAGTTACTTTTATCCCGTCTGTGTTAAAGCTCCCTGCCTTCAAAGATGGAAACACTATCATCAATGAGTCCTATGGGATTTGCATGTACCTTGAGGTGAGAACTTTACCGTTAGTTCTTATTAAAGATGTATGCAGACATATGGCACCAAGAAAAATAGAAAGAGTGGGCGGGCTGCACTTGCTTGTATATTCAACAATGCATTGCAGACAAAAAGAAACCCTACACCGCTGAGGGAAACCTGAGCTGCTCATAATCGTTGCTGCCTTTTTTTTCTTGTCTCCAACAACAGGACAAGTACAAGACCAAGGGAAACAAGCTCATCCCTGAGTGCCCGTCTGAGATGGCAATGATGTATCAACGCATGTTTGAGGGTCTCACACTCTTCCAGAAAATGGGTATTTCATCCCTTGTGTGCAGAGAAATTCAAATATGTTGCCATATTGTTCTGATTGACTAGACAGACCTATTTCCATAATCACTATGACCTAAATTTCTCAAGATAACATTTAAACCCGTCTGAGTGATATCTCGACTGTAAAAGATGTCGGGTTGCCTCTCAGGAGGTCAGCCTTTTGGGACTTTGACCTGCGACTCACTTGGCAACGTCAAACATCAACCTGCCACCTTAAAGCCACCGAGACCTCCTGTTTTCAGCTGGCCTGCTTGCTACGCCCAACCTCACGAGGCCCCCAGTTTGTTCAAAAAACACACAGCGTGTGCATACTAATGAGCTGTGCTGTTGTGTAATCAGGCTGTGAGACGAGGCATAAATTCCTTGGGGTTCAAGTGCAATCCCTCAACAGGAATGTTAGCAGGTCATGAGTTAATCCCCACAAAGGATCACATGCTCTGATGGTCTTGCATGCAAAGTTGGAGTCATGAGGTTTAGCAGCACGTACAGCCCAAAAACAGATCCCATTGAACTCCTTTGAACGTTTAATTTGAGCCTCTTTTACTGGCCTCTGTTTGGAGTAGATGTTGTAAACTGTCCTAGACTGATCCAATCCAGCACAGCTCAAAGGAAATGAGAGTAATTAGCATGTCCAAGTGAATGTTTGTTACACCGGGGAGTGGCTTTAACTGAATGACTGGTTTTTTTGTTTTTGTTGGTTTCAGCACATTCCCTCTTCTACACACGGTTCGTCCCAGAAGGCGAGAGGCACGACTCTGCCCAAGAGAGAAACAGAGCCGAGCTGAAAGATGAAATCCAGCGATGGGAGGGATATCTCAAGGTACGGTGGAAACCAAAACCAGGGGCTGTGGTAGTCACTCCCTACTTCGCGGTTCATTTTTCGCAGACTCGCTCTATCGTGGTTTTTCAAAATAAGATTGGACTTGACACACAATTGGCTGATTGATGGATGAGCCACACGATCTGCATGGAATTTTTATTTAAAATAAATTATATAAAATTATTTAGCACATCCTGCACCTCTGTGCAGCCCTTACTGCAGGATAAACTTCCTCCTGCAGCTGATCAGCTGATCTGCATGCAGAGCTGAGAAGTGGGCGTGGCTGAGAGCAGCAGAGGCACCAGTGAGGGAAATCATAACATTCTGTGCTCTTTTAGAGTGTCTAGAAACATTATTCAGATTATTGCAAGAGTGTGGAAATGATTTAAAACACCTTAATGTCTATATCTATATATAAATAATAAAGTAAATACAGATCCCCCGCGATAAACGAGGGACTACTGTATATGTATTGTATGTATATGTATATATATATGTATATGTAGACAGTAGTAGTTTATTTTAGTATACTAAAATACTACTTGTACTACTATTCCTACTTTACAATTTTTCACTTATTGCATGGCTTGAGGGTACGGATCCCCCACAATAAAAATCAAGTAACTCGGTGCTATTATTTTTTTCTCCAGATTTCGATAAATCTAAATTTGATTCTACTCATTCAGTTAAAACGCAACATTTATCGTAATAAAAATGGCATTGTTTCCTCCCCTACAAAATAAACGTAAAATTATTTAGTAATAAAAACAATTAGAAAACACAGAGTACAGGACTATTTGTTTAGATAGTGCGATTTTCTCTCACCACTAAAAAAACATTATTTGTCTTGTTGGCACCTGATGCTTTTTGGTTGAGGTTTGAGTTTTACTAATGATGTTTATTCAGTGTTATTATCTTTGCCAGGCAATCTGTTTCCTCCTGCTTTAAGTGTTTTTGCTGACATGGAAAGGAAGCTCATTTTCCACAATGCCACTAAAAACACCTATACCAACATAGTAAAATATATACAGTATTTTAATTAACCATTAATGAGCCAAACTCTGAATCATCTATGGAGGTTAGCCAATAAAAAGCCCTCTAATTGTAAACTGCTTATTAATTTTCATCCATATGTGACCTCTAGGTTTGTTTTTCTCCCTAAGCTAATACTGATTTTTTCCCCCCTTTAGCATAATTTCCTTGCTGGAGATCACTTTTCATTGGCTGATGTGATTGTTTTCCCAGTCATCGCTTTTCTCTTCCGCTTTGGGTAAGTTCCTCACCGACCAACAATCAGCAAGTTTCTAAAGAAAACAAAAGTGAGAAAAAAACAACACTTTTTTTTTTCTTTTTGTAGTTTATGTGAGGAGAAATTCCCTAAACTGGCAACTTACCATAACGCTCTGAAGGAGAGACCCAGCATCAAAGCTTCCTGGCCTCCTACCTGGAACGACGGTCCAGGAATGGACTCACTGAAGAACCTCTGAGCCTCTGTCCACATCGTCCTCATGCATAACCACTTCTTCTGCTGTAAAAGTTCTCAAATTTTTAACTTTGAGAAGAATCAAAAGCATTTTCCTTTTCTATATTAGGTGGTTTTTCAGATATTTGTGTGTAATTTACTCCACAGAAGATACTTTATTGTGTTGTGAACAAAATATTAATAAATAAGCTTTGATTCCAAGTCTGTCTGCTTTATCATTTTACAGTCTTTAAATTAATCCCATCTTCTGACTCATCCAATTATTAATTTTCATTTGACACTTGGTCAGTCTCCAATTAAAAACCTTTGCAAAAACATTTACTTTGTAAAACATCTGTATATTCAAGCCCTTTGACCATCCCAACTTTTTTTTAAAGTATTGGCTCCTATTGGCCCTTGAATGGGGAAGTCTACCATATTCCATCCATCCATTTTCTTTACCCGCTCCTTTCTTTGTGGGTCATGGGGGTGACCAGAGCCCATGTCCAGTGGACTTCAATAGGCAGGGTACACCCTGGCAGGTCACAAGTACATCACAGGGCTACATAGCCAAATGAGACAATAATTCACATAAAAGAAGGCAGCAACACACAACAAATGAGTTGCTTCTCTAAATGACAACAGGTATTGTCAGATAAATTAAACGTCCTTTCATCATCTCTTTACTCAAATAAGCCACTCTGGGGATACGAGAAGATTTTTCAACCCAGTTTTCTTGCAACGGGGCAGAGTTCAAAACACAGGCTTACACAGATGTTACATTGAAGCTCCGGTCGTGAGGTCTGCCACGAACCGTATAAAGAAGTGCTTTTTATAATGCTTATCAATACAATACAACTTTATTTTTAAAGCACTTTAAAATCAACACCGTTGGCCAAAGTGCTGTGCACCAACACATACAAGCATAAAATCCATCAAATCAACAGTGTGTGGTTTTTGGGTTTTGTCTTGTCTTCTATGTGTCCTCATGCTGTATTTTAGTCACTCCTCGGTGTTCCTCCTCGTGTTCAGCTCTTGTCTCACCTGTGTTCAGTGTTAATCACCACAGGTGCCTGTCATTTCACTCTTCTTAGTGTCTGCATATATTCAACTCCCTTGTGTCTTGTCAGTTGTCTTGGCTTGTCCTTCATGGCTGTAGTGATCCGTCTCCCTCCGTGTTCTCCATAAAGTAAGTTAGCAGCGGTGTCAGCATCTTGTTATGTTTATTTAGAAAATAAACAGTTTACTTATTTTACCTGGAGTCTCCCGCTGCCTTCCTGCATGTGGGTTCAACACTTGTAAATCAGATCATGATAGAATCCAGAGACCAAACTGAACCCAGCAGGAAGATGATCACCCTCTTTGAGTTCCTGGCCCAAGAGGCAGATAAGACTGCCCATTGGGTTAAAGAGAAGAGAGAACGAAGGCTCAGTTCCAAGGAACCTGCCTGGCTTTCAAACCTGGGTCCTCTGCTTCACCGTCTCTCCCTGCTGCTGCACTTTGCTACCCACCTCCTCCCTGCTCTCCTCCTGTCTGTTCCGAGTGGTCATCTGAGGAATGGTCCTCCTTAGTCCGGCACAAGAAACAGCCCAGCCCTCACTGGCCTGAGGAGCAGCTCAACTCAGCCCCACTGATGAAGCTGAGTTCTGAGCAGTCGAACCCGCCTTCCTGGGTGTCTGTGCCATGGACATGGGGGAGAACAACCCCCGCACCCATGTCTGTGGGTAGCGGAGAGGGTGACCCACGCTCCTCTCTCTTTGTGCGTAGGGGAGGATGAACCCCGCATGTGCGTATCCGTGGGAACCGGAGAGGATAGACCACAGTCCTTTTTCTCCATGGGGAGGACGACCTCTAAGCTACACAGTGTTGTCAGGTGAGAAATGTAGGCTTATCGTACTAGAGACATAAAATTATCGTATTTTGAGGGAAATTATCGTACACCCGTCATAACCAAAATAACAAATCTATTGATGCACTATAGTAGTGATGGGTCCACTTCCAGACCGGCTCTGCTTCTTCTTCTTTTCTTTTTTTCTTTTCCTCACTCATGGGGTGCAGCGGACTGTTCAGCCAATCATGGCAATCATGACCGTGATCAGTTCTGAGGCAAACGCGAACACGTCACTCGTAGGTCACATTTAGAAAAACAAACAGATGCATGATTGGCAGGAATTTCCAGCCAATCATGCATCTGTTTGCGGACACAGATGCCTTCAGGTTCACAAAAAATTTTGACAGACAATTGCGACAGGCTGATGACAACTGATTACAACCACACATTCACGGAATGGTCAAATTATATATTTGGCCTTTTTTGGGATTATTGATTATACATTGTACAGAGGGAAAAATTGTCGTACAAATACGATAATTAATATTACTTGGCAACACTGACGCTACATTACCTGAAACTGCCACGCCTGATCAGTGGGAGAAGCAGCCGAGCCCAGATCCTGCCAATCTCGTGCTCCTTGACTCCCTGAGCTAAGATTTCCTCTGAAGTTTCTTCTATATATAATAGTCAACTTCAAAAACTGTTTTCTTAAGCATTATTTAATCCAGACCAACTTAATCAGAAAACATATCCTGATGCATGCTCAATAATCCAGGTAGAAAAATCCAAAAAGGGTTCAACTGTCCCCCTCTTACAATGCTGTTATTGCAAGTGTCACTCAACCCCCTGTGAATAGTAAACAGCCATCAGTGTGCTAATGATCCATTGT